TTTATTTCAGATTATGATCCGGTGAGTCACAAAATCTGGCAAATTCCGAAATCCGGTATATTCCGGATTCCGGAATCCGGTTGTTCCGGATACATGTAAATCCGGCGGAACCGGATTTCACCGGATAGTGCAAAATCCGGCGGAACCGGATTCCGGACCGGGGTCCGGCACACCCCTATTTATAACCCCCACCTCCATCATTATCATCACAAATTCTTCGCAAAATTTAGACACTCATAACACATCTTCACAAGTTCATGACACCCGCACTCCATATTTTCAATATCATTTATGGATCGGTGTTAAACATTATTTTATAAAATCATTAAATTGGTGCAATGAACATTTTCTGGCCCCTCTCATACATCTGGTCCTATGAGTTTTGTTATAAAAAATATATTTAAGCATTTTGCCAGGATGGCCTAGCAAAAGGTCTGGCTGATCAGTTGTTGTTTTTTACCAGATAGCCAGATTAGTTGAGTTAGGGCATCAATAATGATACACGTACAATTTTAATGCTTAATAAACTAACCCTAGGGTAGAGCAAATTTTATATTTGCTTGTATAGTAATTCAATTTGGAGAATTCTGCTAAGCCTAAGTTTAGTTTAATTGTAACTTTTTAACTAGGCCCTATTTATTTACAAATTATATATTGTAAAAGGGAATACGTAGAAATGTACCAATGCTGTTAATAGGCATACAGCTCTATCTAAAATAAACATAATTGCTCAGGGAAAATGGCTAAAATTTTATTGACTTAGCTTGTTGGTGCACAGCAGAGAGTGAAAAAACTCCATTGAAGACTGCTGAAAGCAGAAGTTATTATTTTAATTAAATTTCCTCAGATCTCACAGTTCTGGTGAAAGTAGTAAAAGATAAAGAATGAAGATTCTTTTTAAGCTGAAAGGGAAAATTGAAACAATTGAAAATGTTAGTGTGGATGATAAGTGTTTCCCTCTCGTTGCTGGGATTCATCCATATGCTGCATCAGCTGTCCAGACATCACCATTGGCCCGTGAGTCTGCACTTTGGTACAAGACCCTTGCTGTAGATTCTGTCTATATAGACTGCAATGCACGGTGAGTCCATGAAAAGAAAATTAATAGAAGTTGAGGGAGATAAAGTTTTTTTTATTCAATTAGTGTCTGAGCTGGTTTTAATATTTTTTTATTTTTTTTAATAACTGTTTGTGTTTCTTGATTCTATTTTTATTCCTAGTGTCTGAGCTGGTTTTATTTTTTTTTTTATTAAATGGTTGTGTTTCTTGATTCTCTTTGTATCCCTAATTGCAACAGTTGGCAACAGCACTCCTGATTTTGAGTCAGAGACACAAAGTTTATTTAACTCCAGAAGCCTGCACAAAACAGTATGATACAAAAAAACTCATAATCTCACCTATAGTCCATTGGTGCATTGATAGTGATCATAAAAATTTATTTTATCCTCACATAGACTTAGGACTATTGTTGCATTTGTTAAAAAAAATTGTTTGAATGATTTTATCTGAAAAAGAAGACAAAAGTGGTTTTCTGCTTTATGAATGACCTTGAGATTTCAATTTCTTTTTTGTAAATAAAACCAAAAAAAACAATGTTTATTTAATTGTTGTTTTCAACAATGTGAGTATTGTGAGACCATCTCAGTAAATGTGTGTTTTAACCCCTTCAGTGCTATACAAGTAATACCTTTCTCTTCACATGCCACATTTGTATGCTAACAAACTAACGTAGAGGAACTTGATTAACATTTATTTTGGTTTCATATTTTAATACCTATTCTTTAAATTTAAAACTATTTAGAATTTTTGGTCTTTGGACATCTCAATAACTTTTTTTTTTTTTTTTTTGAATTTCATTTTTACTCCTTCGGAACCAAATGTGGTAATTAAAAGGCTGTCTTCGTTATATTTGCAGGGTAATCTACTGGCTGCCAGTTATAGCTGCCATAGATCCTGAACTGGTCGCCTTACGCAGATCATTTTTGGTTTTTGGGTATCTCAATAACTTTTTTTTTTTTTTTTTTGAATTTCATTTTTACTCCTTCGGAACCAAATGTGGTAATTAAAAGGCTGTCTTCGTTATATTTGCAGGGTAATCTACTGGCTGCCAGTTATAGCTGACATAGATCCTGAACTGGTCGCCTTACGCAGATCCTTTCCAAGTGATACTAACAATGAAGATTTTATCCCCACCCATGCCAAACCTCTATTTGAGGACTGTGGGCATTATGAATTTGATGCGTCCCTGAAAGAAATGATGGGGAAATGCTGCTTGCTTGTCAAGAAGTACATGAAACGAACCATTTCCACAGAGGAATTCAACAAAAATGTAGCCAACATTTTGCACGTTTATATCCTCAAGGCCATCATATTTTCTAATGAGAATATGTTTTGCCTCATCCGAGCAAAAGCTCTGATAGATGAACGCTTAAGAAAAGCAGAAGAGGACATACTGGGCGTTGCTGATGGCATAGAGAAGCTTGAAAAATGTCAGAATACTCTGATGGCCAGCCTGCTCCATAAGGAAAATATGGACAGTGAGCTCTACTTGAGAACATGTGATCGAAGTTTTCTCAATATCTTCTTAAAGAAAGTTGAGTCTGAGCTAGACCGACTTAACCTAAATTTGGAGGCAGAGCAAAGTAAAGTGAACTGGGCCAAATCCAACACAGAAGAAGGCTGGACATTGGAAGACCTCCAAAAAAAAAGGGACCAGCTCTTCAAGGAAATAGAGGTGCTTATAAAAGTTCGAGAGGCCATTAAAAATGTAATCTCTCGTAAGGAAAAAGTGAAGCGTAAAATAAAAAGCACCGGGGTTGTCCAGAGTTGTTTTCACAATATATTTGTTGAAATTGACAGGCGTCTCACTTTGGAAATACAGGCCTTAGATCGATTGTGCAATGACAAGATTAACATAAGTGCTGCCCGGGAAACCATTCTGGGCGTCATGGCCGAGTTGAAAAACAACAATCGAGATTCAGAGCGGGACACAAAGTTTGACATTGACGAATGCGTTGATTTTTTGGATTCTGGCACAGAGATAGACAAGCCAGACATGTGGCTGACATTCCAGGAGAGGGTCACCAAGGTGCTGGAGAGCATCTCGTCGGAGCCGTACAAGATACACAAAATCAACTGTGACAGGATCCGAGCACAGATAAATATAGCTCTGTGTGAGTACAACATGACCATGAGTCAATCACAGCCCCACTCCCAGAGAAGGCTGAGGTCATCTAGTGGATCTGACATAAGTGTCTCTTTGGCAGATGTCAAGCTCAGGGAGAAAAGCAAACAATCCAAGAACGCAGACGTACGGTCAAGGGAGGTTTTTCTCATCGACGACATTCACGTCACAGGGGCAGACACTACTGTCATGGGAGACGACTATGTATTTGTATGTGAGACAACTCCCGCTGATGATTTGCAGCTCAGGATTAAAAGTGATTATTTCGCCATGGATAGGCAAAGTGTGGATCTGAAAAGGTGGTCGTCCTTTCCCTCAACAAGCGGCCTCCCAGATGAGGCTCGGTCAGAAGATGTTAGCAGTGGGGACTCGGCCCTCAAGTTTTCACCGGCCAAGATGTCGGTGGGACAACAGCAGCTGACTGAGCAGCTGGCTCTCAGCTGTTTGATGAAACATGTAGAAAACTTGAAGGTGTATAATCAGGTGGCTTTCCGGGAAGTGGTAGAGAGCCTTGGCAAATATCTGGGTCCTTCAAATTTAGAAGACACGTCTTCACAGGAGCAGACTGAGCTTCTGTGGAAATCGTACGAACGTTCATTTTGTCAGGTATGTACTGTATCAATGTTTCAAAAAAAATATTCTGCCATTTTTGCTTAAAATAATTATATTCGCGGTTTAATGAGTTGACATGTTAAAAATTTTTTAAAGATTATATGATAAGCTAAAAATTTAAGTTTTTATTTGAAGAAAAATACTCATCTCTAAACTTTAGTTTTTTTGTTGTTTTTATGATTTTACTATCAGTACTTTTTTTTTCCCTTAACAAAAAGCCCTTTGTTTAAAATATGCTTTACTGTCATAGGAATAATGATCAATTTGCCATTGTACATTTCTTGCTTGATTTAAAAAAAAATCTTCAACCTTTAATAAGTTGAAAATCTTTACTAATTGTTTGGTTGCTTCCATGATTTATTTGTATATAATTTTGGTAAAGTTTCAAAATGGACACTTTCATCTTTCCAGGAAATCTTGCCTGATCTGACAAATCTTTACACTACTGTGCTTTATGCCGGAAGTCAGAGTGCATACCAGGCGCTGTCTAAAGCCCCACTGCAAGAACTTCTCAAAGGGGATAAAATCCTGAATCTCTTTTTCGGAACCCAGCCAAACAGCATCATGAAAGGTAACGTGAACAATTCTAAGTCCAGGCCCGTGGATGCAATATCTATTGCCAAAACCGTTTCATCGCTAAGCTTGGATGTCCGCCACTACGACATCAACGACTTGTACAATCTGGCGAATGCTGATAGCAGTGACCTTATAACTCATTTTATGCTGGAGGATACTGATGAGGCAGACGAACATGCTTTTGATGGGAGCAGCTCTGGATCCTCTGATAATTTCTATTTCCCGGGGTCTTCACCCCTGTCTGGTGAGGACAATGTAGGTTCTGGTGGCTTACTCGGGTCACATGTTAGTGACTCCGACATTCCAACAACTGATGATTCTGACAGTAATTCAGAAAATTGGAATGGACTGTACACCCCAGAACAAATTATAGAGGTCTTGGATCCAGTTCTTTCCCCTTTCAGGAGGTATGTTAAAAAATGCCTGGATGCCAACTGCTTTCTTGATAAAGTTCGATACATCACAAAAGCCATTCAAGATCTGAACCAGGACATCTCACGGCTTTACGGCCCGGAGCATCAGTCTGCCTGCGATGATATTATAACTATGCTGATCTTAGCCTTGTCTAACATGCCAGAAGATATTTTCATCGGTTTGTATGTGAACCTGCGCCTCCTGATGGACATTCTGCCACAGTTTCTCAGTGGGACGCTGTACGACTACAATCTGGTGTCCCTCTGTGCTTCATATGACTACCTGTTCACCAGGAATGTATGTGTGAAAGTGCTGAAGCGTTATCCTGGGAGCTTCAAGGTCAGACCCAGTCAATAAAATTTTGCATGGCATTGTGTTACAGATGTGCTGGGGCTGGAACACGACTGTGCCCCGGCTGGAACACGACAGTGCCGCGGCTGGAACATGACGGTGCCCCTTTTCCAGTCAAGTAAATATTTAACAGATTAATATTTAGTGCCTGTGTGGATATGTATTCTAGATTCTTTGGGGCAGCCGTCTACTCACTTAACTAAGACTTAATACAAATTTAGCCAGTTCAATTTGTGTACAATTTAAAAAATTCAAAAAATGAATATGACAATTTCTCATAAGCTTGTTCAATTTATCTCATGTACAATACAGTAGAAAACTTTCAGCTCTTTCAGATTTTTTAAATTAGTCTGCATATATAAGTGAAAACATTTTTCAATTGCATGAATATAGGTTGCATTAAGAACTTAAATTAGTGTTTAATCATTTGGAGCGAGAAAATAAATTTTTACTGTGTATACAAAATGTCAAAAGTGGCTAGCGGTAGTTGTCAAAGGGAAAAAAAAGTGCGGTAGTTAAATTTTGAAAACTTACCAAAGGGGTGAATTAATTTGTGAAAAGTCAACTTACTATTTATTATCTCCCTTGACCCAAAGAAATTTGTATCTCTTTCAGAGTTTTTATTTGTTTTTTTTAAATGCTAAGATGAAGTACGCTGTATTAAAGTTTACTTTGTTCAAACATGGTTCCATCTCATAAACACAGGGTTTTAAAGTGTACATATCTTGTACCCAATTATAATGATTTTCACCCCAATAAGTACATGGATTTAACCTGTTCCGAGTCAATGCGTGATGTCAATCAAGTATCTGATTTTGTTACATTCCAAATAAGTTAATAATTTTCCTAAATTTCAGATGTTCACTTAAACTTGCTTTAAGTATATTACATCAAAGGCGTCATAACCTGTTTTCAGTTGTGACAAAACTTAGCACCCTTTGTACAGTAATAAATATTTTGATGAGGGTCTTATATTACAATATACAAAAGTTATCTTTACGGTTTAAGGCCGTTTCCTCTTTAGTGTTAAATAAATTTATATCGTTACTTAAATTTCAGTGCACAGGGCGGTGAGGCAGAGAGATTTCTGCCTTTTGAAGAAAAAATACTAAACATTGTTGTTGTTTGGAATGTCACACTTTGTTTATTTTTCACCTAGTGTCATCCCACTAACATTGAAAATTCTTCAAATATCCTTATCACTTTTTGCAAGTGTCCACAGAACCAGTTAAGATAAAAAGAAAAAAATTTTGGAATGATCTATAGTTTCTGCTATTTTTCAAAACCAGGCGTCTAAGCAAACTTATGGCTTTTGTTTCTGTCACATTGGTTATGGGTCACTAAAAAGATTGCTTCCCCTTTGAACACCCCCCAAATATGCAGTGAGTGAGCTTGTCTGTAAAGTAGGCATGTGGAGCAGGCTGCTTTCAAAGTGAACTGTGTTATACTCAAGGTGTGCTGGGTTTGTTTAGTCCTTCCTGCCCATCTCAGCTGGGGCCCTAGAGTGTAATAGACTGCATTGAACTCTATTCTTAAAAACAGAAAGTGTATATAAAAACGTAAAACACTAGTGAAAGCAAGTAAAGTAATTTTTTTTTTAAAACTTAGAACTGCAAACCAGTCTTCTACCTTGGTAAGCTGTTTGGGTTAGTAGGGTTATATATATCAGTTTTTTGTGAAAATAGTATACCTACCAGCTGTTCATTATCATTCTTTAAAGTAACATTAACTTGATACATTAGAGACGCCTGGCTTACTCCCCCCGGCCTCAGTTGTGTTTCATTCCTGCACAATTTCACATATCTAAAACTGTATATTTTTTATAGTTCAACAAGGGAGAGTACCATTGATTGTATTAAAATAAATTGTGTTTACCTCCCTGCCAACATATGCCTACAAATCACAAAAATCATGTAATACATCATATGGCTCTATTATTAATATCACAGTCTACTGCTACTTCATGGTGATTAGTATGAAGGAAAAAAATTTAGAGAAACCTGTTTTCCTTCATTGCCTCAGTCCAGCACAAAATGTCTTTCTGCATGGTTCCGGCGCCAAAGTCCCGGTTAATAAGCTTCCGTGATGACCTAAGAAGTTTTTAGATTAACTCGTGCAAATGTGTTTTAATTAGTTGTTTTCGATTTTATTAATAAATACAGTGCTTTTCATCTAAAGTTTATTTACAACTCTGTGAAGTTTGTGGTAATTAGTGAGGACAACCCGCCTGTGCCATCTCATCAAACAATTGCCATCTTTTACAGCACGGCCAAAGATTTATTTTTATATTAACAACTTGTATACAAGCAATACAATGTTCATGTTGACACCCTCAGCAGCAATTTAATCTACATGCAAGTTATCAGTCACAGCAGTCCAACAGTTTAAATCTATGTACAAATCAATCCAGCAGTACAGAATGTTTGCAGAGTAATCCTCTCGGGAGCAACTTTTTCTATACCTATTTTATTTACTAGGGCCAAAATATAAATCTACACTTGCCTTAGAGACCTATACACTTTTTACTATTTTATCTGCAATGATGCATGCAGTCTCTTACTATTGTCTTGACGTTTAGATAGTGTTTTTTTTAAATTGTGAATGACAACTACATTTCATTATTTTATCTCTACTAAGCCGTTGGCACAAGTATTACATGACTCGTACTTAAACTGATCAACATAATATTTCTTCTTTGAATCCATCGATCCATCCCTGTGGCTTTACAGCCCATGTAAGGCTTTGGCCTGCCTCACTACTTCCTTCCACTCAGACCTAACTAATGCCTTTCTTTTCCATGCTTGGACTTTCAACTGCTGTAGATCATTTTCCACATCATCTATCCACCTAAGCCTAGGTCTGCCTTTGAGCCTTTTTCCTCTGGGGTATTGGTGATGCACCCTCTTCGTTCCTCTGTCATTTGGCATTCTCTCTAGGTGTCCTGCCCAGCGTAGCCTGCCTTTTTTTATTTCTGCTACTATCGTGGGATCCTGTTATAGACTGTATAATTCATGGTTGATTCGTATTCTCCATTCATATTCATCCTTCTTCTTTGAATAATTTACATAAATGAGCCTCTTGAAAATGCCTGTAACAAAGCGTACTTCAAATAATAATTTTGTCTTTTTTAAATTATTCCTTAAACAGTTTTGTTAAGTAACATAATCTTGTGGTTTTTAACCCTTTTATTTTTAGGGAGGATTAAGATGAAATTATATTTATTATTTGCTTTTTATCCAATGAAAAATAAGTTTTTCAAGCCAAATGGATACAATTGTCCATCTTAGATATCAAATGGATCATATTATCTCTTTTCTTGATCTAAATTAATATAAACATTCGAATTCAATTTTCAATATCTCTGAAATATTAAAATAATTCTACTAATTTAATAATTTTGCTTTAACAATAATCTATTTGAAGTCCTAAATTGAAATTTTAAAATCATCATCTTAGTTCAGTTACTACAAACTTGCATTTAATTTAGTTCCAAGATTATGCATTTCTTTTTTTTTCTTTCATTTTAAACTAAATTCTTTTTGCTGTAAATAAACTTTGGCTCCAGTGAGTTTAGCATTTGTGTTTCTATCAAATTCCATTTTTTTTTTTTATTTTTTCTTTTTTGTTTTTTTTTTAAATTTCTTATTGGGGAGGCCATAATTTGACATCATCTTATCTCAAGGCACCCCTAATCATTATATTGATTTAATTTATTAAAAGAAACATGGAAAGGAAAATAAAATTATAAAACACTTGTGTGCTGTTGCAGATTGCCTGATACCTTGATCGGCTATCTTGAGGGTTTGAGTTCCGCAACCATAATAAACATTCATAAAGTTTGACGTATTTTCAGTATTCACTTTATTATTCATCAGTCAGTTTGTTGTTTTTTTTATACATGAAGTCATGTCAATGAATGGAGTTAATATGTAAACAGAGATCTTGAAAATTGAAAACATTTAGTATTTGTGTTGTTGGTGTCTATTGGGCAACTGAACTTTGTAGGCTCAGATGTCAGCTGGTCATTTCAGCACACTGGCCTAAATGAAATAATTGAAGTTGATTTATTGGCATAAATATGTGAAAACATTTCAGAACATGAAATAATTTTGTCAGATTTTTATATTTTAACCTCTTTTTCTTTTCCTCTACCTTAATTTTGTTGTTTTTTTAAATAGTTTTATCTAATTAGTATTAGCTTTCCTGGATGTATTTTTATATGATTCTCTATGTGACAATGATTTTCATTTCATTTTTTTTTTTCTGCACACATCACTGAATCGATTTTTTTTTTTTAAATTTAAGTTAATACTATTTTGTATAAAACAGGTTCTGGTAATGCATTCCAATACTTTATCTCAGAAGAGAAAAAATTTCCACTCTACCAAAATTCGCTATTTTCACTGTACCAAAATTCATTATTTCCACTGCAACAAACTTCGTTTGTATATCTGAACAAAAATATAGTTAAAATGTTCTGTTTTAATGGGTTGTTTTTTTTTAAAACTTTTTTTAAGGCTTTTGTTTCTCATTCCTTAAAGCCTTTTTCTATAAAATCTTAAGTATGATTATAATATATGCAATTTTTCTACAATCTTCAATATTTCCACCAAAATGTAAATGAAGATATTTATTCTTTTACACAGCTCTTATCTGTAATAACCTCTAACAGTTGTAATATAATCCATTAATATTTGTACATTGTGATCTTTAATTTTTTACAATTTCTCTTTATATATAATGTGCCAATTGTAAAATAAAATTAAAAAGTTTCATTTTAATTTTATTCATCCTCAAATTTTTCTGTGAATGTTACATTTCTTGTCCATACATTTTTCCCCCATTATTTTTTTTTTTTAATGTGTTCTTTTTTATTCTTCATTGCACAGGTGTGTTATTGTATGGACATTATGTGTCTTATATGACATAAGTTGACATCAAAGCTTTTAGAAAGCTCCATACCTCTCAAAATTTGCTTAAGGCTTGTAGGAAAATATTTTTCTCCC